CTGTGAGACGAGATCATTTGCAACTGAACATGAACGACTCTTATCCGAAGGATCTAACGACTAAATTGTTCGTGTTTCTTCCAACAATGCTCCATATTGAAACATTGAAAGAGAGAGAAGTTAAATTTTTTAAACCGATCGTTGTGCGTAACTTATACTGACATAGAACATTCACATACGATCCAGTTATACGAGAGGAGATATGTTATAGTACATATGTCGTCCGAAAATGGCCAGGAACAATATCTCTTAAATACAATTCCCTGTTAGATTTGGCAGTCAAACTAGTTGTTGTAGAAAATAAACATGGTACACTTTTGAACGGACCTGGTTATTCGCTTGTTTGCCATTATCATTATTATCCTTATTATAATTCCCCATTAAAATGAAGAATTGAAATCATTATTATCCATCCATTTATCTCCTCGAATGGATATCAGAGAGAGGTCACTGGTTGAACTTGATCTGTAATGGAGTGGTAATAATTTAATATTAATAATTTAATTTATTATTAATAATTTAGCTCCTTGAAACCTATTTTTGATATTGGTATTATCCGTAGTGCATTTCAAAGTCTCTGTTCCATTATGATAACGTAGAAATAAAATAAACATAAAGCGAGAGTTACGAATAGCCAGTATAGCACCAAAACAAACCTTAGACGGCAACCCATGGCTAACGATTGTAGTTTCACATAAGACGTTAGTTTTTTTTAGCTAGACCCATTGTTACCGACCCCACCCACTGCTGGGCATCATAGTTATATTAGTGTTTCAGTGTTGTCATGGTTAAAACTGGCATTAAAGGTCGTGAGTATAAAATTTTGTTCATACGAATGTTTGTTAACGATACAGAATCAGAGATGAATCTAAGTAGTAGCAATATTGCCGTGCTTCACTACCATTTATAATGTTCATAAGATTGCGCGGCACAGTATAACGGGTTCGGTTGTGTCCTTCAGGTCACAGCGTCTTTGGCGTCATCTGCTTTTCATGCCTTTGTCACCTTACTCAATATTCAGTCTTCCGTAGAATAATGCAGCAAAACGCCAATGGCAAATGTGTACAAACACATACATACGTACACATACACTTACATGTATATGTTACAGTGTTGTCTATCCCTGTCCCCAGTCCCTGTTGCGGGACGGACCCGTTGCATGTCCTGCTCGTGATTCATACGTCGCGTTTGTATGTTTTCTACTGCCTCCCACACCCTGTCCTGTTCAACGTTGTTTGTTTACGATAAGGCAACCGACGATAGCGCCTTTGTGCTATAGCGAGTATATCGTACCTCTGTCTGAGCAGCTTCCTGTTCAAGTGCCTAGCAATGCGCTTTGGCCATCGTTGATAACGTTATTTGACCTATTTGAGTAAGGGAAGGCAGGATCTATAGTTTAACGTAATTCTAGCAGCACTAAGAAATTTGCGTAGACGGCAGTGATAGCTTTTGTAGATACCAGTGAGAGACCAAACGAAATCAAATGGCTCACTACATAGTCGCTTCCTTCTTCTGGCGACTGCTAGGAAAAGCATTCGCAAACACAAGTAATTGTTGGGTGCAATACTGGTACAAGAAGTAGGCATAATAAGTACATCCAAACGAACGAAACTTAAACAGCCGACACTAGCCAAAGTATTACATTTCTGATTATCTTTGCCTCTATGAGCTCCTCTGTAACTCTGACAAGATATCAGAGACACGCTCTGACAAGACGAGCTGTCTAACGTCAGCTCTCTGATTTGGGATGCAGTACCTCCAATAAAAAAAACAACCTTCTCTATAAAACGATATTCAAACAAAACCACCTTTGTATTTATATAGGCACCGTGCGGTACGCGTACACACGACGAGGAGGTGCGAATGGCCAACATTATGACTGGCTATTCAGACAAGAGATACCAGGCAGTTAATAAAATCCAAAACTAGATAAATTAGAATTACCAATTACTATGCATTCGTTATTTCCACCTATCGCAAACACTAAGCAGTCACAGATGAATTCTAGACGCAGCAGGTGATTGGTGGATAATACGAGTAAGGGTCTCCTGTGATGTCGCAAACCATCCTTTACGGCCAGACCGATAAAGTCCGTACTATACGTAGATGACTATTTAGAGATGTTTCATACAGACGTCCCTAGTTCCCAGCGGTGGAAAAGGTTGAAAGTATTAACGTCGTGACGATTTACTTGCGGGGAAAGGGTTCACCTAGTGAATTCAACCCAAAACCGGCGATACGCGAAATTGAACGATAGTGATTGTGTACGGTTGAATTAGAAACTAGCCGCAATCATTTAGCGAAAAACGAAAAAAGTATTTTGCTGAAGTTTGTTATGCCATCATGGTTTTTTGAATTTATTCTTGTCACCGGTAAGCAACGCAATCGAACTCTATGTTAATGATACATTTCGAACAAACATTGCCCATTGATTTCGATGGTGGTAGAACAAGCTGTTAAGCGTTAGTGAGGTATCGCTAGTGAATGTTCCGCTCTCACCATAAAAACCTGGCCATTAGCATTAATGTCGAGTGCTGCGTATAGAAACTTTCTCATCGAAAGTTTTGAAATGCGCGGGCAAAACGCAAGAAACAAACGCTTCAAGCCACACGATTAGCGTCAGAGAGTCAAGTGATTGAATAGCGAACCTGTATATTTATATTTGGCGGTCAGCCGTTAGAACATTGTATGACTTGTTTTTGGGAAACAAATTTATCTCTCGCATTAGGTTTTACTGTATGACTGACAGAATTCTAGAAGAATAGAAAGAAAAATCTAACAACAAATATCTATTCGTTCTGATATATATTATTCCTGTGTTCCCATTGCAATTTTGGCGCCATTAAACACCGATTGAACAGCTTTTTTCTTTGAGCGAGCAGTACATAGCTTTTTATTATTAATATCGAGACCGTGCGAGTGTCGCCATCTAACCCAGCTGGTAACTGAGAGAACCGTATTTCTTCACTATCCACTTAGCGCTGACTGTAAATTTTCAGCTTGATGCTGTTCATTATATCTGTTCCATATTACCCAGGCCCGATCCTGCCATGTGTACCGGTCTAGCCCAAAACCAATTTGATCGCCGGGAACGCGAAGCGTTTCAAGGCTACTTCTTTAATTATCTTATTAAAATAATCACTGCTATTCCGTTCGAGTTATCCCAGTGACGATATTGAGTTATTCCGTAACGATGCTATGAGATCTCATTACCCTGCTTCAGAAAACTGACTTCATTATTTCTGTCATTCCGTAAGTTTACTGCGTTACATTAATTCGTTGCATTACGTTACCATGTTCTAGTGATACTGTAGACGTTCAGTGCTTCATTTGTTCCGCCTCCTTATTACGACTGAGGTGTGCCTATCTATACAATTTCGCCTACTTCGTTACCGCAAGATGAAATGATCCCTAATTTTCAATACTGTGTGCAAATCTTAGAGGGCCGGAAAAGCTAAGTACGTGGACCGAGTGAAAACATCGATGGGCTTCAAAACTTACAGCTTTTCCTTGAAAGAAAAAAAAAACGTAATATGATTGAGAAAATTGAACATTTAAAAAAAATACTACGTAGTGTCTATGGTAACATGTTAAGCGACGTTCACACTCAAATGCTTCACAGATTTTCACGAGAATATCACTTACAAAAGGTGACCATTTCGGCTCCTTTTTTTTTTTCGTTTTTTAGTTTTTGCATTACTAGCAATTTTTCTCCGTCAAGTTATTTACGAAAAATTCACAAGTTGCATCGAAATCTCTTTCGAAAACGTCACAGTATGTAGAAGAAGAGCCAAATATATTTATATAGAATAGAAAAGAAAGAAATTGTACCGGTCAATTTTCCGAAAATTCTACTATGTGACTTAAACGGAATTAATTATACATTGATTAATTTCGAAAAAAATATCAATCGAGAACACCTATATCATTGGCTGCACCATTTGGGGGTTATATAAGCTGGAGGCTATGTAGGCTACTAAGGACAAAGGTTAGGCATCTAACAAAGCTAACGATAAAATTCGTTTCCTCATAGAAAGGGCTGTAATTCTAATCATTTTTAAGTGACGCAAGAATGCGTTTAGCATAAATCCATACGAAATGCCGTATACCGTGCAGGGCGAAACTGGGCTTCGAATAATTCCGTCCATCAGAATCAGATTCACAAGCTGAGTTTTGTTTACGAAATCAGAAGGTACAGTAGAACCAGGCTAACTCAATAAGGCCTGTGTAGCTATCACTGTTATGAGTGATTTCTATACACATAATTACCCGTAGTAGATTTAATCCAACTCGTGATTACTCGCAATATCATGCATATCTTAACAACATCGCTTTATCGCCTTATCTAAATGATACGTTATGCCAATGAAGTCGTGAGATATACTTCAAAATGAATCAGGAACGCGAAACTACGATGCCTTAACTCAATTTTCCCATGACACTGAAATGTAAATTGAGGCTACCTGTATGTTCTGCTCCTTTTAGGATATACCATTGGTGGCATCCGGTTGTATTCGCGCCCGAAACGTAGGGCTTCATATATACCCGCCTTATACTGCCTTCAGGATGGTCTTATTATAAAACTCTTTGTATGATCTTTATAAAACGTAACTCAATAGAAAATATGACTTTGGAACAGGCGAAATTGTGGCGGAAAGCTGAGCTAGTTACTTTGCTCCTTTGTCGTTCAATAAACGTTCAACAGAATCTGAAATAAAGGCTCAGCCCTCTAGATTGGTCCCAAATTGCAATGCACATTTTACGGTTTGGAATCGCACCAAATTTCCGATCGACACACATCTTGATAGTCTGAAAAGTTTTACAGTCTGAAAAACTTGAAAAATGTACGTTCCTTTGCTAGGAAACAAAAGAAAAAACTAAGCGGCCTATACGAGGGCGTTACGTCCAAATCGATAATAGTTGAAATGAAATTAAAACTAACAATGTAATAACGTTTGGTTGTAGCCTAACGCTAGTTGTTGTTTTTGTTATTATCGCAGATGGTGACGGCGGGCACCGTACAAAAAGCCGCAGCTTCATATGGACTTTTCGATCGGGAAAACGATCGGGTACCCGGATCGTATCGTAGTAGGCCGCAGCAAGTAGTACTCCCTACATTTGCACGGCAACAACAGCGACAGCAGCAGCAACAACAACTTCAACTTAGAAAATCAGTTAACAACTTGTAAGTGTCTACGCATGATGTACGAACGTGCAGACAATGCACGATTTTGAGGCTGCTCGGCAAGCCGCGCAGCTTCATAGGAGAGAAAACGAATTATGACGCCATCATAGAAATATTTCAAGCAATATCTCTTTTACATCGTTTTCGAGCTATGAAAATACATAGATATAGCGTGTATGGCGAAAGAATAACGAACGACATTCGTTGTGGACGGCAAACTTTGCTTGAACTTCTAAAGGCCTTTTGAAGTTTTAGGGAAAGTTTGATACTTTTCACGAGAATTTTCTTGGGAGTTCTGAGCCTATGGTTTTGGAACCGCACTCCGCTACCGATTCACGGGGCAGCGGCTGAACGAGAGGCACAACATTTTCCCTTTGATCTCCGTACGTTCCCGTAATTCTCTCTTTATTCAACTTAACCGATGAACTACAAGATATAATACACGTTCAGAATGAATTTACTTTATTGAGCTTATTGTGTTTCTGTTTATAAACTGTTGTCTCTAATTGATTGAGAGAAAGGTACACTCAATTGGTTTCAAGGCAAGACCGCGTGAACGCGTACGCAAAACTGTATATGACTGAAGATGCCGTCGTTGTTTAATTATATGCCGGCATATAATAAGCAGGCATATAACTGACAGCAAGATACATTTACTTTGAATTTTCTCTATCAAGTAATGAAAAAGTCGAAAAACTGAAAAAAAAATCAATCACCAATATACGAAGGCGTCAATCACTTGTCGAAAACAATTTTTAAATCATTGAGCAATGTTAATGGTAGGACTATTGCATTAGACAAAGAATAGCCACTGTAGGCGGATAATTCTATCATTAATTTAACTCTAAATTATTGTAGCCTTCAAATGCCGATCCAATTCGAAATTACCATGATTTAGAAACGTTTAAATACCAGAAATACGTACGTCAACGCTCCTAGTTACGAAATGTTTGTATGAAGTTTTGCTTCTTCACATGGCCAGATTTAGTGCTTGTAAATTTCTAAAATGTCGTATGCACTAGCTCAGCACTGAGAACCTTTCGCCGCTAGAAGTGCATGCCGAAAAAACGGGCAAAGCTTCATAGAAGTTCATCGCGTACGATCGGTGACCGTCGAATACGCACGCACGGAGCCGCTAAACGTCACCCCAATAAATGACGGGGATCTTTGCGTCAGGCTGCCTGGCTACACAGTTCTTGGGAACGCTAACTAACACATATGAGCAATTCATTTCAGCCGCTGACCCACGATACCTCTAAATAATAGTACCTTTGGCGATAAGCACAATACGAGGCAGCAGATGAATGCAGTCCGGAAACGGTGACAGAACCCGGGGCTTTTACTTATTTCTACCTTTTTGTGTATCATGCTATTCTGCTCTATATATTTACTTTATAAGTTCGCTTCGACTGAACTTATTCGGAACAGAAGGGATTCATAGAATGAAATGTGAAATTTAATTTCAGTTACTCGATCAGGACTGCATTGCTCCACTGGTGGCTCCTGGTTGACGACAATAAATACATGATAGTTATATTTAACATTTTGTACGCGCACCGCTATAAACCTAAACAGTTTGTAAAAAAGAACGAACCCCTAATTCTATCAATTATTAGCTATAGAGTCACTCGCAATAGACAAACCAAGGGGTATAATCTAGATCACATCAACCGGGCGACCGATTCAACTACATGCCAGGGCGGCATTTCAGCACGGATCTCGCTTTTTATCCAGTGAAACTATTCACAAATTATGATGTTGATCGTATAGGAGCTACCCAGGCCGGGCACGTGTAATGAAGTACGTAGTAACTCTCGACAAAGCAAGCTGCTCTCACGATAGCAGCAGCAAAAACAAACGCCCAGAACTAAAATCTCCTATCCTGGTACAACGCTAGATACCGTCAATCGTAAGAAAGAGAATATCGTTAATTTACAGCATAAAGCGTTGCTATACCTGTTCAATTTTGTTCTTTCGAGACGGGGCGTCTTTTCGTAACAAAACCATGAATCGAAACATAGCTTTACAGACAAAGCACGGAAGCACTTCGTTCTATGATATGTCTATGCAGATATATAAGCGCATGTATATTTGACAAGCGGGACCATTGCCGACCGCAATGACTAATCCCAACTATTTCTGGAAAATAGAAGTAGCTTCAGAAAACAAATCAAACCTTTTTATAACCCTAATTTCAGTGAGTTGCGTTTTACAGTTATATCTCAGGTTGGCAACAATCCCTTAGCGAACCTACCTTGCATCTGAAAAGTGCCCTGTTAAACTTTTCAAACGTCGTCTGACACCAGCCACCTATGAAAATAGAGTGTTTATTTTGGCGTGCCATCCACCATATCTGCTACGGATGTGGATTCCTTCTAAGTGTGACCTGTTCACTCCCGTATGGTGGCCATGTTTATCTGTAGTGCTTTCGCTATTACGCTTGACCAATACGTTGGCCTCATACTGCTGTTCATCCATGTCTTTGTGGTGTAGTACGTACGTGTGCAATAAATGCTGATAGTTGGAACGGGTTTATTCGGTGTGCACGGAGGCGAGGGATTATTCAGCAAGTATATTAGAATGCGGTATCCGATGATACAATTAATTGATCTACTGTTCTACATGAACACATGCACCTACGGAAAACTCTCGTGCAAAAGGACCTAAGTTGATTTTAGAAAACATAGAGACTTCTTCTGTACGAAAGATCAAGTGTAACAGTTACTTGGTTTTCTCTACTCGAGAATCAGCATCGCCTTCATGGCAACCCCTTAGCTTGAAACACCCTACAACTTCAGCTGTTGAGTCCTACTGAATATTTCTATGGAAGCTGCGAGCTGCGCTAGAATTACTTGTAAATCTAAATAGCTCTATTCGTGCTGGGTTTGGCAATAGGTAGTAGTTCCTGCGGTAAAAATGGATTTAGGCTTTTGTTTGCGCGCAAATTCCTAAATTTAGCTTCGTTCTATTTCGTTTGGACCAAGTATTGTTGCTCTGTTTAATCTGAAAGTGCGTTTAACCGACCTAGGCTTCTTTAGATAGAACTTTTCTGTTCACACACACATATATATATATATATATATATATATATATATATATATATATATATATATGCTATACGTACGTGTTATTCTGTGGTTAGCTGTTTTAGGGTCGAAGAGCAGGACCAGACAGGTAACGAACATACGAGGGTATGTGTCAGACGGCGGATGCGAAGTATAAAAAAAAGAGTGTGCTGACGTAGTAGCGTAAGTATCCAGTCTCGAGGTGAATCGGTGACGTTATTAGGGCACTACAGGTACTGCTACTACACTATCAGCTCTAATAGTATCGATTCTTATTGCTGCTGCTGCTGCTGTCGGAATTAGTTGTCCTACCGTTGGGCCACAGATCCAGCACCGTTCCATGCAGGGAGGGAGCCCATTCGTAGAATTGATAATAATATCCGATTCGCGTACCTAACTGGACAGGATTATGCTGCTAGACAGTTTCCCTTTTGCCCTCGTTGACGGCAACGTTGGCTAGTATGATACAGTGGAAAAGTGAGCGAACGGGCATATTGTGAGTGGGAACGATTTGTGCCGGCAAAAACCCACTTAGCGACCCAGCGTAATGTGAAACCATCAGTGTTTAACATACGCTATCTCGTCGTTTGTAACCGCGCGCGCGCATCTAGGCGTATAGTTTTATCTATTGTCCGGTTTGAAAAAGATAGTTGTGTTATGCTTCATATCTATAAACTTTATCTACAAGACACGTGTGTCGATCTTCGTTTGGGCAGGAAGCGCATGGAGAACGATAAGAATAAATGTGCAACAAAGAAAAAATTCAAGAATCAATGTATGGTCGAAAATGATGAAGCAGACGTGGTCATTTACTCCTCTAATAAAACGGGCCTTAACAAACAAAACGAATCTTTAACGATGGGTAAACTAGTGTAATTATTCTATATGCCACAAACATGAGTCCGGCCGGCACTAAGAAATTTTTTTTTGTGTGTTAGACAATAAACAGAATCATTTTTTAATGATGGGCTTTGTTAGCTTTTTGCCAGGTCGTGAGAACGTTATTAACCTCGAGTTTTTTTTCTGTTATTTCGCATTCGGACTCTGCATCTCATGAAAGCCGATTACTATATTTAGTTACAAATGGCCGCTATTGTATGGAATAATTTTCACAAAAACCTTCTATTTCATCTACATTAAGTGAATTCACTATTAGTGGTACTCTGTGCCGGCAATAGAACAAAATAGATTGCATAAAGTACGTTGATAATCGTTCTAAAATGAGCAAAAGTAAAAGTCACAATATGATCGAGATCTTCTCCGAAATTTTTTCTTAGAATCCATTTAATTTTCTGGTGAATTTCTTTTTTAAGGCTGAATAGGAAATAGGGTAACTGAAAACAGTATCGACGCCATTTAGGCTCTCCTTTGCGGCTGGACAATAGTCGACCGTGATAGCTTTGTCCTACGAAAAAGTCAAGTAGTCTTGTGGCATGTTTTTTGGTGACGGCGCAAAATCAACCAGTTCCATAATTGTTTATGCTTTCTGTAGTCGTCGATATGTATATATATATATATATATATATATATATATATAAATAAGGAAACAAAATCGTATTTATCTCTACAAACTGGTGAAGCTTGCTTAGTGGAGTTGAATTCGCAATCTACTGGTCTGATTTTCGCTCGTCCATTTGGTTACGCCCGTCAACATATCAACACGTTTGGAACGACGTCATATTTCATCATACGTTTGCTGTCTAGGGATAAAAATATCTGTGTAGCGGCGATTTTGGTCATCTATTTATCATAGATTACCTAATAAGTTGTGACTTCAGGTCAATTCCCCTATTTACTATTACTTTGTTGATACTCCTCATTTTACATTTGATCAACGCCCAGCTTTCGTCTAGACGCTCTGCCTTATGCAGATACTAACAAAAAGTATGAATATCTGTAAAGCAAGTTTTACACACCAAGTTTGTGCATATATCG